TCCGCGCCAGAGGTCTGAGCTGTAGCTCTTTCCAGTCTTCCGAGAGCAGCTACTTAAAAAAAATAAAGACAGGGAAAAGGGCCGTTTCCTTCTTAACCCGTCCTTTTGGTAAAGGCTCCCTAATCGGGAAGGCAGCGCTGCCGGGAAGGGAAGGTCATTTTCCCCAGCCGGGCATCCTGATCCATTTCTACCGGCCGTTGCTTTTTCCATGCTAATCACCCTCGCCCCTACTTTATCTTCCAAGCCCTGCAGCGCGCTCCTGCCTTCGGCTTTCTTTGAGTATCTTCCGCTCTTGGGGGCACTTAGACCTAAGACTGTAGCTCCTGGACCGACTTCCTTATTTTCAGTAACCCCTCTAGCCATCTCCGTAATGTTCTCTTTCCTTCCATCTCAATTTACGACGCATTTTCCGAGTACCTGGTCCACAGCGTTCCAAGGGTCTTTAGGGTTCTACCTAACTTAGAAGGACAGAGTTGGAGAGCGCCGAATCCGCACCGAACTTGAAATCATGTTCACAATGAAGTTTGGAGTTTATGATGACCCACAATCAGAGCAAGAAGTAATTTTTTTTTCACTGAAATGTAGGTGACTCTGAGGGAACATCACTTGCTATGTTGGAGAATTCCTTCTAATAGTCTCTGGAAAGGATATTTTAAGACAAGAGTCAGAAGAATGGGAGTAATTAAACTCATTCATTGGAAGTTTTATTGAGTGCTTACTATTCATTTAGAGGGTTAAATGAGACATCGGGGTGAGTTTTCCATATGCACTTGAACTTCTCCAGAAAACTCATAAGGATCCTAGAGTAGACTTTCCAGTGATAAATGACTTTTGATGTCGTCGACTTGATGAAGACCGGAATTGATACTGAAATCTTCATGTGAGACCTCTAGAAATTGCACACTCAGAAAAAGAAACTGGTGCAAATAAAGGAAATCCGTTTCAAGAACCAAAAGAAGAAAAAACGTTAAAAAAATTAACTGCGGAAACAGGAAACACTCGACTGTGTAAACATTTTCGGAGACTTTCATAATCAAAACTGGGCGATCTTGAGATTTGCAAGGAGGTGGACAGGCTCAGGGGCTTCGCGGGGGTGATTCCCAAGTCTGACTTACTGGGAAGCTCCCTTTTGCGATACTTTATCTTCTTTGTAAAGGACCCGTCTATCTGAATTCTTTGGTCCTAGTTTAATTCAAGGTTTTATTTTGGAGGAGTCAGGATCTTTTTTTTTTTTTTTTTAGAGACGACCTTAGAAATAATCACTTGTACTGTTCATTTTATACCTGAAACATCCTCAAGTGGAATTACCTTATCTAGCCCAAGAGCCTTATGTTGGAGCTGCGTTCTGTGTTGTTTGCACCTTAGATGTCTTAAAGATACATATGTTTTTTTAAAGGGTCCTTTAAAATGTAATTTCATCAAGACCTTTTGTTTGGGATAAAGTGTAAGGAAGACTGTATGGAGGGAACAATCATCCTGTTTCAAAATACCATGGAGCCTCCATTTCATGGAGCACTAAACTAAATCAGAATTTCCAACTGTCATTCCAGGAGCAGCGTCAGAAGAAAAAGATTTATTTATCAAACTTTGAAGGTATAAAGAGAAATGAAGAAAATAACACTCCCTTCACCTTAGGATTCTAAAAGGGACTAGGATCCATGTGCAGATTGTTTCTAAAATTAAAATCCCATCTCCTCTAAAGATTGCCATAAGCTTTTTTTAAGAACCGAACATTTTCATTTCTGCTTGGCCAGTGCAAGTAGATTTCACCTGGGTTCCTTTTAGGTTCCTACTATGATTTCATAACAAAACTTTATCTGGATAGGCCTATACAATGAGTGAACCAAAAGACTTCACAAATGAGCTACAACTCCAAATATTGGGAAAAGAATAAGAAGAAAGCATGAAGAAAAGCCCTCATCAACTAACTCTGCCTGTTGCATGGCACCTTCAGAGATCCTAGTATTTGCGCATACGGATAGGGAAAGCAGCAATATAGTTGGTAGGTTAAGTCAACTGACGGGTAACTTTTTCCCCAACTCAGTGCAATTAACGGCCGGTAATTTTAAAAGCAAAAAAGGTTCTTGTAAAGTGGTATGCATGTGTAAAAGCAAGACAGATCACTATTTACACAACAGCGACCAGCCTCATTCTCTTTTTGCATTTAAGCTAAAATCTGTGAAATCAATTTAGGCATTTTCTGTGGGATATTTTTAGCCCTAATTTTGTGGTATAGAATCCCAGAAGGCTTTTCAGAAGGAAAAGCTAACTTTTCAGGTACCCTGCCTTGACTGCAAAGAGATACAAGTTAGTTTTGGTATAGGTTTTTGTAAGGTTGAAATTTTAAGTGGTAGTTTAGCAGAAGTTTTAAGTCTTAATTGTCAGATCTGTGATGGCTGAATATAGGAGAGTACAGCACATTTATAATCTTTCTTCTGTTTTATTAAGACAAATTTTCAATGAAATATCCTTTAAAGCTTAAGGAATTTTCAAATTGAAAAGGGGAAAATTCTTTCAAACAAAATAAATGGACATGCTTTCAAGTATGGTAAAATAGTGTTAGATGAGCCATAAATGCAGTATCTGCACTTACTAAGTAATTTCAAATTATTTACTAAGTAATTTCAAAGATAATCCCATAACAAGGTTGAGAAAGTCTTGGAGTTCCATATTGGGTCCTACAACTTGGTTTTGTGTGAGTCAAATGACAATCCACTAGCACTTGGGAAGTTTTTATAGCCTTTGAAAAATATTTTTTCATTCTTTATATACATGGTCATAGCCAAAGTAAAAACATCGCTTAAAACTTCTATTAACTTTTTTTTTAGGTCTTAGATAATATGATGAAAAACTTGAGAAGAAAGGCCTAGAAAAATGAGTTAAAATCACCAACATTGGCAAACATGGGTAACTTTTACTTCAAAGATTGTAAATAAACAGATACATCTTTCAATTGGGCTTTCAAGCAATTATACAACAAAGCATGACTCTTAGCAACATCACTAAGACAGCAGTGGATTTTCTTTAGCTTTTACCACTTGTAGTCCACAACAGGGTTCCCAAAACTTCTGCATAGTGTGCTTTTCATATCAAATTTTTATTAAAGGCTTAGCTGTTTTCTAAATGAATATCCTTTTTATTGGATTTTTTCCAATTACAAATGAAATTTCATTTTACATCTATAATTAGAAACAACACTTACAATGGGACTATACAAATTTAGGTCAAAATAAAAATATATGTATTTTGTGGTTTCATAAAACTTCATTTACTGCATCTTTAAAGAAAGCAGAAGTAACAGCAATATATGTAAAAGTAATGATTTAATGACTATAAGCAAGACAGAGCAATAGAATTGTGCTTCTTTTGCAGACTGGAGACAATGAAATGTTCAGCTACAGTTTTCCCATACAAACATGAAACAATCCATATAGAATAAACACCCTTACAAATAACTGATGGGTGATGAACACACACCAAGTTCGACCAAAGCAAAACACAAACTGAAAGTTGTTGGGGATATTCATACTTTAAATTCAACATGCTCACTCTACTTAAAAATTAATACCTGTAGAAGCTCACAATAAATTGCTTCTATTTCCAGATATTACAAAGGGCATACTCCATTGTTTATAACTGTAAAAGCAACTCTTAAATTTGAAATGATCACTATACCACATACTAAAATAATTTTAGATAAAATGCTTTCTTCAGTAATTTGCTGGTTTATTTAAAAATTTGTTTTAGAATTCCAGTGACCAATATGCATTTTAAAAACACATTAATTCCACCATAAGCAATGGGAAATGAAGACAGCATTTCCATAATCTTTAGTTAAAAGTTTTTCTTTAATGCAACTATTAATTTTAAAAGTAAACATGTATTACTAGAGAAAAGTCAGTATTACGAATATGCCAATTGCTTCCAATGGGACAGAATTTAGAATCAGATATCCACACTTAAAAATATTCTATGCTGGTAAGGCTCAAATATAGAGTATCTGCAAAGGTCGAACCAGTTGGGAGAATTTAACAACCATTTCTGAATTCATGAAACACAATATTTTCTTTATAGTATTTATAAATATATCATACAACACTGTTTCCTGTTATGTCATATACCAATATGGCATTGTACAACAAGCATAATGCCATCTGATTCTTACAAAAGTGAATCATTTAAACAAGTCAGTAAAATAAACGGTAGTACCCGCTTTTAGGCATACAGATTGTAAAACTGAAGTTCACTTTCCTTTGATCGGTTTTGCGTCGCAACAGAGAAGTAAAAATCAAACAGGAATCAAAATGGCTAAATATGCAAGAAACCGTTATTCACAGTGACATGGCTACATAGAATGCATTATTCTATGCATATTCTTTCCATTTGTTGAATTTCAAGATAAAAAGCACTTGTTTTCTACAGATTCACAAAACAGCATAATAACAAGAACAATCAAGGAGGATGTAATGTAGGGTTAGTTGAGATTAACAAACTATGGCCCAATGTTTATATTCACTGCAGAAGATTTTCAAATCCAAACAATGGTTACAGAAACCATTTCACATCTGTCCTAACACACAGAAAAAAAACATCTTGCCTGCTTTCTCAGAAACCCATTCTTTAGAGGAACGATCTTTTCCATTAACGTCCATATGAATAGTACATCTAGTCCGTCTTTTATAGCCAAATTTAATGTCACTACAAAAGAAAGCAAAGTGGACGATAGTCACATGTATTAGCATCTATAAAGCTGTAATGGCATGAAGATATCTATAGAAATCAGGGGATTAAAATCTCTTTCCTCAACAGTCTCAGGTATCAACCAGACGAAGTTGCTGACGATCCATTTACTGAAGACTTTCGAGGTCTATTGGCAAAGGAAGATTGGTGGTTACCACTGGGACTGCTGCTGGTTCCATTCATAGTACTGGAAATGTGAGGAAACTGAGGATGAGGAGACTGGACTGGAGTGCTGGGGCTGGGCAAACAAGAAGAGGTGGAGGGAATGCCTCCTGCTGGGCTGTTGGCCTTGTCACTCCCAGAGTCACTTTCCAGTTCTCCAGCGTTTGTCAGTCCATCTCTCTGGTGACTGATCTTCATTCTTTTACAAGTAGGTCGAACTCTGTATTTCAAAGGGAGCGGACCATTCTACAAAGTTAAGAGGGAAAAAACAATCAGTCTTACATCTTTAAGTACAGCTTGCCAAAATAATCGTTGAGCATCAGGGATGCTACTTACCCTTCTCCAGGTATAAATGTAGGCAATGTCCATTAGTGTATAGTAGTCCTTTAACGGTTCCTCTTCATACATGACATCAATCTGTTGAAAACAACACTTCAGTTTCTTAACATCACAAAGAACCAAGGTAAATCTAGATTTTTTTTTTTTGGTCATCCAAATATAATCCAAAGAGGCTTTAAAAAAAAAAACATTTTCTCCAAACATTTGGACAAAGAAACAAATCCCTCTTGAAACTTTAAATGAGGAAAAACATTTCTTGAAATTATTAAGGGATTTGTTTTCATAGCATAAAAAGGAATCCATATCAAACCTTTTGAGAACTATTTCCAAATTGTGCCAAATTAAAAAAACAAAAGAAATTGTTGCTTTTTTGGGTTTAGAATCCAAAAAGAAAAAAGTCATTGAATGAAAAAAAAAGATTTACATAAAACACATGAAGACTACAAAATAGATACCTGGAAAGTATTAGGTATGTCCATTTTACTTCTGAGAAACTTTCTTAGGTGCATCACAGTCATTGCTGCTGGGCATCGTAAGTATCTCTTATCATTCACCTAAGAGTATATTTAAGAAAAGGAATTTTTTAAACATTCCTAACTTTAAGACTTTTTTAAAAAGTCCATTAGATATATGTCTAAATATGATAAAAGGTACCAATACCGAAACTGGGATGTGACTAAGTTCTTAGCTAGTCTTTGAGTTTGCTTTTACGTTAAATACTAGATGAACAGATTCCTTATATAATAAGGAAACTTTCAGTACATCAAAGCATTAAACGTTATTTAAAATATTTTGTAAAAATAGTACTCACATATAAATTCTGTCTGTTAACTATTGGATACACATCACTCGTAAACATCGAACATGACAATTTTCTCCTGTTTGACCCTAGAATATTCTAAGGGGCAACATACACCCTCATAAAATCTAGCATCCAAGCAATGTTTCTTCTATATGTTTTTGTGTCATGGGACATACCTCCTCCTTAGATTTCTCCTTGTCTTTATTTACTTTCCGATCCAATCTAAGAAACAGATAATTTATTAGGGGAACAATAAATCTAAAAAATCATATTAGCATGAAACATACTTCTTAAAGAATTTACCTGTTCTGGTCAAAGAATTCAATGGATAAACTTATTATCTCATCATCAGTTATAATTCTCTTGTCTTCATCTGCAACTTCTCCTCTATCTTCATTAGAGCCATTGGCAGCTAGAAAGACATTTTGATATTCAATTTTTACAATTAAACATTTAATTAAAATATATATACAGAAGAATGGATGTGGTACTTTAGATTAAACTTAATTCTAATGAATTACTGGATAAGGTCTCCCTCCACCTAAAACGTCTCTCCCCCTCCAAAGAGTTTACCATCAGCTGAAGGATGAGCTGCATAAAAATCCCTTCTTCTCTTCATTTCATCTAAAGATGGGGGGGAGGAGAAAAAGACGTAAACATTTGGTATAGCAGGTAAAACCCATAAATACTTTTTAAAGAATTCATTTTTAAGCAAAGTACTCACTTTTGAAAAGCCCTGGAACTAATTTGTATACAATATCTTGAAGAGTTTTATCTGACCTGAAGAATTAATTAGAAAGTAAACTATCAATTAATATGGCACAAACTAAAAAGAATGTTCATAAGTTATTACACATTCTTTGTGTTCTTTGTGTCATAGTAATTTGATTGTGACACTATAACTACATCAATATGCTAATTATGAGAATAAAAGTTCTTAGGTAGTAGCACTGTTTTAAATTAGTGGAAAAATATTTTATATTCATTAATAAATTCTTCACATTTCACTGAATCAAGAGAAGTGTACCTTTCAATTTACTAAATTAGCTAATACAGAAGAGAATAAAGAAGATTGAATGGAAGCAGTTTAAACACATCACTCTTGCCTGTCATGGAGTCAATAAAGCAATGCAAAAATGCAGAATTAATTTGGTTTTTAAAAGGTGATTTAAAAGAAATTTAAATCTCTTGAATAATACTGAATTTTGTTTAAAGTAGTCATCATTAAAATGGCCAAGAAATTAAGGGCTATCCTCCACCAAGTGCACACATTAGATAGGGAGTCAAGGGTAAATTCTGTGAGAAGAAATAAACACTAAATTCAATAATTATGCAATGCCAATAGCAATTACAATGACTTAAAATATTTTCCTACCTTATATTCAGTAAGGGTCTAGTTTTGTGAACTTGGACATCACAGATGGGACAATACTTGCTGGTCTCCAGGTAACGCACAATACATGTTTTACAGACTAGAAATAAAAACACATTCCTTTTTTTTTAAAGTTTAGGAATTAGATGCTAAGCATTAAAATTAGTATCAGAAACAGAGAACTAGTAACAAAATGGTACATGCCAAAAGGTATTTCTAATTAAACTAACTCAGCTCACATCCTGAGAACACTTGTACAGTTTACTTCTGCAATTTGTACTTATACAATAATATTTTATTAAATATGTATTAAAAAGTCACTAAGTGCAAGAGAATAAAGACTCCTTCACTTTGTACCAACATTCTCAAGGATTGCAGGAATTGTTAGTTTTCAAATTTCATGATAAAATGTTAAATATACACGACACCAAAAAAAGGTCTAAAACTTTGTACTTACAGGAATGTAGACATTCTATTATGGTTGTGGCATCAATGAAGTACCCTCCACAAAGCACACACATTAGGTGGGGATTTAGCTCAGTGATCTTGATTCTGGTTGTTCGATGCATTTCTGCTTGATAAAGGATCCTGCAAGACACAGGAATATTGGCCGTAATTCACAGAAAGAGAATCGAGATTATCTCCAGCTCCTAATAACCCTACCCTCTGAAATGCTGAGGGAGTTCATAAAACTCGTTGAACACTGTACAAGCTGGACTGTCTCACCGTTTTCTACAGAAGGAATTTACTAATCAGACCTCAATCAATTCTACTGAACTGTTGAAAAAGGATCCAAGTAAAGTAATTTCCAGTCCCTCCGGTCATTTCAGGAGGAAGAAGAAACGGTCTGGGGTGGGGGCTGGGAGCTGCGAGTATTCGGGTCTCTTTCTTCCATTTGTCCTCCAGCCCAGCAGCCCCACGGCTGCTGCAGCCATCTCACAATCCCCGCAGATATTTACCAACCGCTAGGGCTTGTTCCAGGTCTCCAAATTTATTGTAAAACTTCCTTATGGATCTTCGATCGAAAATCCGGGAGCATGCCCTGGCTTCCCAGGGGTTCTGGTTGTTACAGGCGGTTCCAGCAACACGAATCTGGCACGTTTTGACCCGATACAAAGGGAAAACAATTCTGCTCTATCTGCATCCCTGGCATTTCCGGAGCTGGGTGCTGGGGCCGCAGGAGAAGCACCTCGAGTCGGCCTCGGGCTGGGGCCTGAGCGGGCGGACGCCCGGGGGCCGCGATGCGAGGGGCGGATCCAGCGGCGCCCGGGGCTCCATCTCACTCCGGATTCGGAACTCGCCTCTGTCGGGGTTTCCATAGCAACTTACACTTACACTTGGCATCCGGCCACCGCTGCAA